CCAGATTGTTGGGGGCAATATGCTGACTCTCTGTAAACCGCTTAGAGAGGCCTGAAAGGCCTATGAAGCGGTATATAAGTCTACTGCTATTAAAGGGACAGGCTGCAGCAGCTCTGCTGTGAATGAAGGGAGAAACGTTTGGATTGTCTCTGCTGCATTTAACGTTGAATTCTGTGGCAGAGACAATCTGAACATTTTCTCTTCCATTCACAGCGCAGCTATTGCTCCCATTATGGTCCCCCCCGGCCCTCTCCCTCCCTGGGTCTACCTTAAAGGGACAGGCTGCAGCAGCTCTACTGTGAACGGAGGGAGAAACGTTCAGATTGGGTGGGTGGGTCGAGTTGCTGGAAGAGGTGAGTAGCAACAGGGCAACCAAGCGGACGTGGGTAGCGCCACAAGGGATTTTTGCCACAGGTTCAGAGAACCAATGCCAATCGTCCCTGTTGGTTTTGCCGAATCGGGAGGATTTCAACCCTGGTCTGCACCTTAGAAAACGCAGGCTTTTAGCAGGTATCAGCACCTCAAGTAACCACTGAAAAAGCAGTTCAAAGATATGCTAAGTAGTTGGCTCACAAAGGTAAGAAGCAGCTGGTTTTTAACAGATTTCTCTAAATCAGAAGATCCAATATTCACACTGGTCTGATTCTGCTGGCTCCAGATTAGCAAAGCAGTGGGACAAAGCTATATAATATCCTTTCATTTATTCAACCTCTATGCTGCAGGGAAGCTGGATTAGAAGAAGAGGAAAGTGGTTTTAAAACTGGTGAAAGAAACATCAATAATCTATAATGTTATGCTGAAGACATTAATATGATAGCTGAAAATGCAAATAATCTGCAAGCCCTCGTAATGAAAGCCAAAGATCACAATGAAAAATGGCATATTAAACGTACAGAAGCCCAAACTAACAATATCAGATACTGCGACCAACCATAGAACTGACACTGAAATGGTAGATAATTTCTGCTTTTTAGCCTTTTGATAGATAGTTTTATCAACAATAAAGGAACCAGCAGTCAAGAAAAGAGCCACAGAATAGCACCTGGTAGGGTAGTAATTAATGACTTAGGAAAGATATAGTGATACTGTGATGTGCACAGAGATCAGAGTTGTGCAGGCAATTATTTTCTTTGTGGCACTATGGAAGCTAAAACGTGGACTCAAAAGAAGAAGGGTAGAAAGAGTATTGACCCTTTTGAACTTTGTGTGTTGAGGAAGAATCTTGAGAATACCATGGACAGCAAGAAAACAAACACATTAATCATAGAACAAAGGACTAAGCTCAGATTCTGAGCATATTATGAAGAGACTCTGCTCCTTTGGGGGGGGGGGGGAAACCCTGTAACTTTGGGAAAGGTGGAAGGAAAAAGAAGACAACCAATCACAAGGTAGCTGGATGCCAGATATGATTACAGTAGTGATCAGGGCATTTTTGAGAGACCTGAATGGCCAAATCAGGGATACATAATCCTAGAAGAGATCTATGGGTTCACTGAGTCAACACTGACTTCATGGCACAAATATATTTAAATTATATTTAAATATAAACCAGCAAGCAAAAATCCCAAGGATGTTAGCCAATGCTGCATTTCAACCAAACGGGCAAAGTCATTGAACAACTAAGGCAGTGATGGCGAACCTTTTTCGCTTCAGTGTCAAAACCACACACGCACTCGCATGCCCACCCCTGTAATTTAATGCCCCCGTGCTGTGCGCATGCAACCCTCCCCTTGCTGCCCCTCGCATAGCTTTCTTGGAGCCTGGGGAGGGCGAAAAACGGCCCAACACGCAAACCGGAGGTTCAGGAACGGACTTCCAGGTTGCCCGTTGGGCTGTTTTTCTCTCTCTGGAGGCTTCAGGAGGCTTCCCAGAAGTCTCCAGAGGGCAAAAAACAGCCGAATGAGCAAACCATACATCCGTTTCAGAGATTACGGTTTGTGTGTTGGGTGGTGTTTTGTCCTCTGGAGGCTTCAGGGAAGTCTCCGTAGGGAGAAAAACGGCCAAAAATCAAGGCTGAAAACCAGCTGGCCAGCACACACATGCAAGCTGAAGCTGACAGGGTAATGCCTCGTGTGCCCTCAGAAATGGCTCCGCATGCCACAGGTGGCACACATGCCATAGGTTTGCCATCACGGAACTAAGGAATTGTGAAATCATTTAAGAAGAAATTTTTCAGGAAACACACTCTGATTAGTAATTAAATACTATTTTGTATTTAATACTGTCTTTTACAATATAAAATATGTGGTTACTGCATCTACATTATACAGTGGTTATTTTGAATATTTTGATCTCTTTTTCATGTCTCCACCTGTCCTAGGGTTGGAACACTTGCCTCCCACAGCCCTTTACTGTCTCTTTTGTTTGTTAACAGTTCCTGCATTCCTTCACCAGCTTGACCCCTGTTTTCCTCTACAACATTGGATACAAGTGATCTTGCCTAAGAAGCTTATCATGATTGCATGTGTAATAAAGGCAGATGTGAAATACACATAGTCCTCGATTTATGACCATAATTGTGTCTGGAATTTTGGCCATAAATCAGGGTGGTCATGTCACCTGATCTGATTATACAACTGCTTTTGCGATGTTCATAAAATGAATCACCACAGTCATTAAGCAAACCACTTAATTGTTAAGTGACTCCGGCATATCCAATTGGTGCTTTTTGCTGAAAAGTGGCAAAAAAACATCAAAAATTGCAATAACATGACCACAGAAAGCTGCAACCAGTCATAAATGTGAGACAGCTGCAACCAGTCATGTGACCGTGGGAGACCAGGGTGACCTTTTACAATGGTCAGGAGAATTTTACAAACCATAAAACACCCTTTCCAAAGTAACTCCAAACAGTCATTAAGCAACTTGTCATTAAGCAAGGACTACCTGTGCCCTGAAGCCATAAGATTTAAGTAAATTAATTCATTAATCCCACTACATCTAATGTGGATAAAGTTGCAATAGACACACTGGCTAAAGTTGACAACATGAAACCAGTTTTATCTAATTTTAACTCCAAGCTTTCATCTTATGTGACACTGAACTTTAAACATTTTAAAAATGATTGAAATGCTCATTTTGAACTTGAAAGGGGGCATCTTGCACTCAAAACAATTCTTCTAAACTTGATGTAGGGCATTTCAATTTCAAAAACATTTACATTCAAAACTTTTGCATATCTCTACCACTTCAGCTTAAAAATAAGACTGTATACTGGCAAATACAACACTACAGTCTGCAATTGTTATTTTTTAAAAGGTAAAATATGTTAAGAAAGTATAGAAAGAGAAAATGACATAGAGCAGGGGTGTCAAACTCAAGGCCCACGGACCAGAAACAGCCCACAATGTGGCCGGATCCAGCCTGCAGGGCCATCACGGAAAATATAAGGGGCCGGCCCATGTCACTTCGGTCCTGTCTACCTGCGTTGCCTCAGCCCAGGCTACTCGCATTGCTTCGACCCGATCTACCCAATGCAAAGAGGAAACATGCCAGAGTTTGAGGAGTGGCATCAAGCTGGCCACACCTACCCAGACAGCCACGCCCACTGAGTGGCCTCAAGCTCCGGAACTCAAACGCCCACCCAGTCAGCCACACCCACTCATCCCCCAAGGTCAACCACAGTCCTAATGTGGCTCTCAATGAGTTTGACACCCTGACATAGAGAGACTAAGAAAACAGAAGTCCTAAGAATACAGAATGGATTATCATGTTGGTAAACCAGCAGCCTGTTACCGGCTCATAATTGTAAAGAAGATGTTGTGTATTATAGCACTCTAAGAAATCTTCCTTAAGAGAGCTTTCATGTCTCATATGTCATAAAGAATACTATCCTTGTAACTTAATTCAAAGAACTGCTTTGCAGCTTGTCTGGGATAACTGAAAGCCTCTTTAGCACTAAGAATGATGCTGACAACACTTTCCACAGATACTACTAGTTTTACCCACCTTTGCCATCACCAAAGGTAAAAAAAAGAGGTGCCATTTTTACAGTTGTCATGTTACAGCCATGACAAAGTAATACAGTGTTATTTCACTTACCTGCCAAGGCCTTTTCGTAGTTCTTTCCCATGGATATGAAGTTCCGGAGGCTAGGATTAAATTGTTCCATGATTGTCTATAAGAAAACAAAAAACATTAGCAATCTTAATGTGAAAGCCATTTGTGTTTTTCTACTCCTTCTACAACATGTATAAATACACAAGAGTTTAACCCACTATCCCATGAATTCTTAGAAAAAGAATCCTCCCATGTGCACATACACAGGCAATACAAACTTAAGTCACTGATGAGAAGGGGGCTGAGCTAGAAGACCTCCAAGGTCCCTTCCAGCGCTATTCTGATTGATATTTTTTAAGATAATAATGTATTCTAACAACTTATTCTATGATTTAACTATATAGCTACATGGAATATGAATCCCAGCCCCTACAACTTTCTTGCCTGACTATTCATTTTGCCAGGAATGAAAAATATGAAACCGAAACAAGTTTGAAGAACAATTACCTATGAGATATATAAGATGAAATATGTAAATACAACAGGGCTAAATAAGTTAATTGATTTGGTCAGATGCCATCTTACATATATTTTTAGAAATATATTTTTTTCAGCTGTTACAACACTAATATAAATGTTATACTTCAACCAATACAAAGTTAAACATAGGAGCTTGATAGGCTATTTATTTATTTGTCTTATATTGCCACCAATTTGGACATAGGCAGTTTATATTCAAAAACCAATAAAAATAACACTCAGAGTGTGAAAAGTGTAAACATTAAATGGGAAAGTACATAAATACTGTTTCAATCATCTGTCATCTTTCATCATTTTATAGGATCACAAAACACCTTGGTCCCTGGCTCCTTGAAAAACCAAGCTTTTGATATCTTTCTAAAGCAGTGTTCTTAGAAAATGAAGCAACAACAGAAAAGCTCTCACTGCATAATCTTTCAAAAATGCATTGTTCGGTTGAAGGGAGCTGGAACATGCCCACCAAGGCATGCTAGTCCTCATAGGACTAGCAATTCCACAAATGAGCCCCACTCTGATGTCCTTCTGGAAAACTGTAAAGACCTGGCTTTTCCATAGGGTCTTTTCAGAACTGAGACCTGTATCAACAACTAACCAAGTGCTCCATTACTAAAGTAACAACCCAACCTTCCACCAGAGGAACTGTGTAAGAACATTATTCAGACAATGACAAGCAAAATGAAGCAACCCAGAGCAGCGGGAAAAAGGAAACAGATTCTCTATCCAACATCTTCCAACAAAATGAACGGATACCCATGTGGTTTTATCAAAAAGCATCTGTCCACTCGATTCACCACAGCATGATCAACCTAAGTTATGAAAAGGGCAATACTGTCATACATTATAAACATATCACAAACAACCAACAGATCAGTGATAGGTTCCTACTGGTTCGGACTGGTTCAGATGAACCAGTAGTGGCTTGGCAGCCTGGGTCGCTGGAACTGGCAGCGAACCAGGCCTGCCATGCCCCCGAACCAGTTTTCCGGGTGCCACCATAGGCACCGCCATCTTGCTTTTTGCTTCTGTGCATGTGCAGAATTATTTTTATTGCACTGCGCATGTCCTAGATGAAGCTAAATGCCAAAAAATGCTAGGGAATTTCTGGTTGCTTGGCATTCAGACAAATTAGCCATCAACAGAGCCATAGAGATAAACCACATTTATACACCATTCCAGAAACACAATAAAAAAGCTAAAAAGGAAACAACAATGAACTATTTAATTCCTCCGGTTGCTATAAAATAATCGTTAGCGAGTTTACAAGAATTAAAGATCTTTTTAAAGAAGGTTATTTTACTGAGAAGTAACCTCTAGTTTATCGCAGCCATAAACAATCTGAATGAAGGCTATTGGCTCAAATAGATAGGTTCTAACAAATGTTTGCAAGGCAAATCAGAAATACTTCAGATAATAAAAAATGAACTCCTTGTTTGTTTGAAAGCTTTCCCAATTGGTTCCTCAGATTTTTGTATTCTCCTAAAAAAGTTAACTACCAAAGCAGACATTTTAAAATATAAAACTTTTGTTACGTCAAAATTAAAGTGGAAGGGGAAAAAATGGCATAGATGCATAGAAAGAATACTGTAGCATATTGAAACTAGTAAAAAATATAAATTATAAATTATCAGCATGAATAGTTTCATATCATAATCACAGTAAATATATAAATTTTATTTTAAGCTAAGAAAAGGCCAGCATGCCACCAAAGTAAAGTAAAATAAAATAAATAAATAAATGAATGAAAGCAAGGAATCTTCTCGGCTCCTTCCAATCAGGACTTATGCCTCGTTATGGGACAGAAACAGCATTGGCTGCTCTTGTCAATGATCTCTGACAAGTGCAGAATGGTGCATCTATGCTTGCTTTCCTTGACCTCTCAGCAGACTTCAATAGCATTTTTTTGTCTTTCAAATAGTGGTTTATCTACAAGGAATATACACATACATGGCAAAGTCAGGCAATCAATCAACTACAGCACGGAAACACACATGGAGAGAGAGACACCATCACAGAGATGGAACCAAGAGTTGGGAAAAAAAGAGTTGCAATCTATTCACACGCCCTGTCCACGTCACTGAAACCTCAAAGAATCCAGAATAACCAGACAAGTATTACTAAAATTAAACATCTGCTGACAGGAGAATAACCAACTGCCATCAGGATGGATTCCTGTTGGTGTCATATACTACCTGAGCCATACCTTCATTTCAGCTTTTCTCATTTGAGTCATCTGATAGGAAGTTCCAAATGAAGAATCACTGGGTGTCAGCAAACTGGATATTAAAGGTCCAATTTCCTATGGCCCACATTTTCTTGTCAGTGGGGCAATAGTGGCTGAGATACTTAGAAATTTTGCCTGGGATAAAAGTTGCTGTTTTTATCCCATCCAAAATCAGTACTTTGATTCTAATCCACCCTGGATAAATCTAGGCTCATCTTATTGTGGATCTCAATTTTGTAGTAGCCATGTACATCTATAACAAGGGTGTTAAACTCAATTTCATTAAGGGCTGCATTAGGGTTGTGTTTGATTTTGGGGGGCGGGTGAGCTTGGCCAGAGTGGGTGGGACCAGCTCGATGTCACTCATGTCAGGGGTGATATTTACATGAAGCCACTGGGTGAGATCATACGTCGGCACGGGATAAAATACCACCAATATGCGGACGATACACAGTTGTATCTGTCCGCCCCGTGCCAACTCAGCGAAGCGGTTGGAGGCTGTCAGGGTCTGGATGGGAATGAACAAGCTTGCACTCAATCCCGACAAGACTGAGTGGCTATTAATGCTCCCTCCAAAAGATTGGCCATTTACTCCATCTCT